AACCCGCTCTTTTAGGTGTAAGTAAAAAAACGTAATCTTTTCGAGCCTGCTCAATTAATTGCATCACCTCACAATACGTTAACACATCCGCAAAATCTTTAAATTTCTCTTCCAATTCTCATAGTTTCGTTTTGTCGAGGGATATCTTAAAACGGTTGTTGTGGGTTTTGAGAGTTATGTACCAAGTCTAGCTCCCCATGAGCACAGCAAGAATGCAGTGCATCAGATTGGCACTTTTTCAGCACTACTACGTCAATTCGAAAAATTTCGTCCATAAATTAGCATAAGATACCACTGCACAGGTCCACAGGCGACCCAGAGCTTTGCAGCCCTATTATCCAATCCACTGTCAACCGCCGCTTCAACTACCTCCAATAAAGAGATAAGTATGAGTATTGTCTGCTATCGGTGAAATGCTTAGATGATCTAGTTTGAAGTGCTGTTTTGAAACACAACAGTGATCGCTTCAATACACGCCCATCAATTACTGAAGCTGCTTGATATTGGGCACAAGAAAAGAGTAATTTGGATGATATTTTGCGTATTACCAGAAAATTGGAATTTCTTGCAAGGCTTACACGCTAAACGAAGCTAGGCTTTTAAAGGGTAGCCAGTGTGTCAACTTTCATTCCCGCTTCTCTCCCAGTCCATGCGCTGCAACGGCTAATTCTTTCACACAATGGAGAACTTTGGTGTTTCTCTTCATCTGGTTACGTTCCCATTTTAACGAAGCCACGCCTTTTAAATAAAGTATTTGCCCTTCTTACTGCTTCATCCATCTCTATTCCATGCTGCTGCCGACTATGCACTTCAAAGAATAGAGAACCAGCATTTGTTTGCTTCATGCAGACTCCCATCGCATATGCAGCTGGTAAAAATTTCTCCCAACGTCACCTTTGTTCAAACAAATAATTTTCGATGCCTTCAGCAAAACCAGCCCCTCTAAAGAATAATGTATGGACTTCCCTGCCCATCATATCCCAATCTTACGCCCTACGGCATGTGTGAATTTATTACAGTCAAACAAAGCAAGTTGTTGGATGTGTTTCCTTTTCACATCCACTGCAACTCCCACAGACGGAAGAGAAAAGTCACATAAGAAGAGCATTTGAAGGTAGTAAATCGAGGCTTAACCAAATGTATAAACTGCAGGAGGCATTCAGGTATTTGCAACGAATCCTGCAACTTTCATTGGGAAAGATGTTACGATTTCCCCTAATATGATCCACGAAGCAAAAATGAAAAATTTTCTCCAATCCCTGGAAAGAGGGACTGTAGGAGAAGGGTCTGCGAGAGAAATACCGAGAGCCATTTTACAACATCAATATGAATGGAAGTTAACACCACATTAA